CCCCTCACCTCCCCCCTCCGGGCTCCTCTTCCTCTCACCTCCACCTCCCCTTCTGCTCCTCTCTCCTCTCCCCCCTCCCGGTCTCTCCCGCGCCCCGGGCGTGGTCTCTCCCTCTCCCTTGGCTCGGTGGAGGCAGAGTAGACGGGGGTGGGGGGGGAGAAGGCTGGAGTAAACCACAGCCAATGGGAATCCCTGTGGCCCCGTGATCCGTTCCCCCCCCTCTCTTGGCGGGTATTTCATTTGCATATGACTGACATTCCAGGGACGGCCAATGGGAGGCCGCGGTGTGTATGACTGTGAGGGGGGCTCATTTGCATGTGAATGACCCGGTGCGGCCGCAGCCAATGGCGTGGCGCGGGCTAATTGGGCATGCGTGACGGCGCTCTGTGAGGGAGAATGCGTGTGTGAGGCGGGGGACGGGGGGGTGAGCGAGGGAGGCTTGGGCGAGGGGGCCGCCCTTGTTCGTAGCCCAGAGCGGCTGGGAAAGGGAGGAGGAGGAGGAGGAAGAAGAGGAGGAGGCGGAGGAAGGCGGGAGGCAGTGAATGGTGTTTGGTTACAACGTTACAACCGGAGGGGACGGCGCGACAGGCGGAGCAGCGGCAGCAGCCGCCTCATCCGCGGCAACCTTCTCCCCCCCTCCGCGGCTCCTCCGTCAAGAGGCGCCGCGACAAGCAACCGCCCGCCCGCCCGCCTGTCGCCGACAGCAGCGAGAGCCCAGCGAGGAGGAAGGGAAGGGAAGGGAAGGGGCGGCGGGCAGCCGGACAACTTGCGACCTCTTTCTCCTTCTCTCTCTCCCCCCCTCTCCCCCCGCTGCTCCCCCCCTTCCCTCGCTTTCCATGCGCGCACACTGTAATCCTGCCAGGCTATCTTCGCCGATGGGGGAGAGGGCAGCATAGGCTGCTCCGCCTTCCATCCCTTGCTCCTCTCCCTACCTACGTACCTACCTGCCCTGCCCCCTCCCCTTTACTAACAGCAGGAGGAGGGGGCGCTGGACAGTCTCTCTCACTCGCACACACCTACCTCAGGAAGCACGCCTGCACCCCGCGCCTCCGTCCACCCGTCCGTCCGTCCGTCCTCCTCCCTCGCACCACTTGTGCACACCCCTCTACGCTCTGGCAGGGTGAACTGGGCTGCTAAATTATGGCCCCCCCTCCTCTCCCCATCTCTCTCTCTCACACGCGCGTATAATCGCACACCTACCTCCTCTCTCTCCATCCCCCATCCTAAGATATTTTCTAACTTACCCCATGCTGGCTGTCTGGGTGACTCTGAGAGATGCTGTGTCTGTAAAGAGGAGCAGAACAGGTCATAAGGGACGGGTGCTGCCCCTGCCGCCGTCCTTGCATGTGGCGCTGGCGGCCGCAGAGGGCCCTCCAGACTGTTGACATCCAGCTGGCCTTCGTCCCGCATGGGATCGGCTCAGGCGTTCCCCTGCCCCAGAGGAGCACCGGCTTGCTGACCCACAGAACACTCACACCAAAGCGGCAGACGTCACAGGGCCTGCTCAGAGGCCCTCCCCACACCTCCCTCCCATCCCTGGGGGAGGGAGGAGGAGAAGGGGCAGAATGCTGTCCAGGCAGGGCTGCTGAGAGACCTGCGCACCTGACCTTACGGCTTGTCACGCCTTGGGATGTTCTCCACGGAAAGACCCCCGGCAGCACTGCCCCCTCTGCCACACAGAGGGCTGGGCATGTTCGGTCAGTGGATTGTGGATTGTGATGATAGTAATTCTGAAAGATGTTACACGTGCGTATGGAGACGTGCGAGGCACAGCGCGATAGTGTTGTGTATCCCACTCTTGATCTTGCTTGAAAGAGGGTATGTTGGTGGGTGTGGGTGACCTGATGCTGCCGTTGGTTGACCTTTAACCTCTTCTGGGTTGAGGGTGCCTGCTGATTAATATTTCGCTAACTACCAGAGCTTAAGTTCTAAAGGATGGGTGTTGGACGGTATGTGGCTGTATTTTTGGAATATTCACTCTTATGAAGAGGTCTGCTGGTCCTTGTTTTAGGTTCAGGAGGCTGGTTGGCTGTGTTATGAAATGGGTCTCAAGGCCACCTGCAAGCTTCAATGTCTCAAGATGAGAAAAAAGGTTGACCATGAGGTGTTTTTGCTGGTCCCTGGTGCTCTGTCCTGCATGGAAACTTAGTAGGTGAAGCTTTTCCCCAAATGGAAGAGTGCTAAATGATGGAACAGTTCCTAAATGTTGGTGTGCCAGGATGCGTTTAAAGACACAGTAGCAGTGTCAGTCGTCAAGGGACAGCCCTGACTGAGAATGTACCTGGATAGCTCATTTGGTTAGAAGCTCCTCCCTGTGAACATTATCCCCGACCCTTTGTTTTTCTTAATTTATAGGTTTTTTTATAGATAAAGGGGAAAAAAGAGAAAGAAATGAAGAGAGAAGAAATAGTTATCAAGGGACCTTATACAAAATATGACATATACTAGATGTAGGAAATATAAACATCCCCAGCTCTTTGTTGACATCCTCTATAGATCCAAGAGGTGGCTGAAGAAAGCCAGCACAAAGGTGTCCTCGTTTTAAAAGTACATAGTATTTTTACTTTGTAAATGGATATATTTGCTGTGTTTTGCATTCACAATGACTCCATGATGTGGTCACTTTGTTTCCCACCTTTATAGTAGAGAAACTGAGGCTGAGAGGTCATGATAGATTCATGGCCACATAGATAATTGGAAAAGTGGGGTATGGAACCCAGGCAAGGAGTTGCACTGGCTTTTTCTCTGTCCTTCGGCATGTTGAATGGCGACGAGACCGTTGCTTGTCAGGGTAGGGCAGATGGCAGAACTCCCGAGTCCTGTGTTCAGCTTGTTGTGTGACTTCAGACTAGCTCCTTGTCGCATGTGACACACAAAGTGCAGGTATGCGTCTTCCAGCTTTTCCTCGCGGAGGTACCGTCCATCTCAGAAGCTGAGTCTAACTTTTCCTTGGGGTAAGTGCTGGGGTGCCGCCTGTGGACTCCAGTTTTGATGTTTTAAGATTCTTGCTGCTTAACTGCATCGAACAGGGAAGGGGTCTCTAATTTAGTGCCGTGCCCTTGCTTCTCCTGTCCCCTTCCTTCCCATCCTCCTCCTCAAATCCTTCCCCCTCCCACATAGGGATGTGGTCACCAGCCGGAGGACAGGAAGCCACTGAGCCAGCGCTTCCCGGCAGAGCCCAACCACGGCGCACTCAGTGCTTTTAATAATTGAGTTAACTTTACATGCAAGTGTGGGGTGGGGGATGTGGATGATCCATCAGGAACGGAGAGGGGTGGAAGAGGAATGATGGGAAAGGAGCATATCGCCAGCGTCCAGTGGCAATAGGCCTTGTTACTTCCTGGGAAAAAAGCAAGGGAACCCTCTTACATGTGATGCAGTTGTAACACCCTTTAATGAAAATATTTGGAGATGACTTATAACCCCCAATCCCCAAAGCATATATCGGAGTTAAACTCCAAATACAATAAAAGAGGCATTCACAATCTTCTCTTTTGGAATGATGAACAATGTAGGAACCTCAGAATCTGACTTATATGAGGTCAGGCTATTTTTCCAACTGGCTCAGTAATGCTTACCCTGATTTGTAGCAGCTTTTCAGGACCTCCAGCAGAGGTATTTCCCATCACCTGTTACCTGACTCTTTTGACTGGAGATGCAAGGATTAAATCTGGGACTGTTGGTCTGCAAAGCCTTTGTACTGTTTCTGTATGGTGGTCCCTGCCCAGAGAAGTCATGAATTGGTTTCTGGGCATCTATTATACTTGTAGAACTATGTAAGAAACTAGTATTCCTGGGCGGCTACTTTGTAAAGATGAAGGATCCTGTAAGGTATCTTAAGTTGTACTATAACTTTAGGTCCCACTTTGGAATCTTTTCCATACCTCTCTGATCTGGAAGCTGTTTTTGGGATGAGCTGCTTATATTTTAGTTGTGTTTGTCATCTGTGATGGGATGAGGGACTTAAATGGAGTCCATGCTGAAATTTATATGGCTTATTGAGATTTATATGGCCTGTAGTGTGTTGTTGGTTGCTTGGTTGTTGATTTCTGAAAGCCCTTTATGCTTGTGGCCAATTGAGATGGGGGGAGCCTCTGCTTTATTCACACATGTCGCTGTGTTAAGTTTTTTGAGGTTGACAAGCTGTAGGGCTGACCATCTTGTGTCAGCATTTGGCTTGCTGAAAGCTGAGCAGTGTAGATGAATTGCGGTTTGTGGGGTACAGGTGTTGCAAAACGTGTGTGAGTCAAGCTGTGTGTCTGTCTCATTTCTCTGTACTGGCCTTTTCCTGGACACCCCAAAAAGGAAGTATTGCTTAGCCTGATATGGGGGCAGCAGGAAATGACAGGAAGGCCATAATATTTTTGGTTTTAGCAGTGAATGGCTTGCAAACAGGTTCTGCAGCCGGGGGCACCTCTTTGTCGCTGGGAGGCCCTGCAGCCCCTTGAGAAGGACCATGCCAGGCAGCCTGGACTATTGTTTGGCTTTCTTTGCTCTGTGCAGCCTGAGCTCCTGAAGATGCTCCCAAGCCCTCTGGCTGGGATGAAGCCAAGCAGCTTGGCTGCCCTAGTAAGCGTGGGAGTCTGAGCTGGGCCCCTCGCCCCCTCCCTCCCCTTCCCCTCCTGCAGCTGTAAAATTCCTTTGCCTGGCTTCCAGCTGGGAAGGGCGGAGGACCCAGGGTTGCTTCCTGGCAGACCGAGGAGAAAATCTCCCCCTGCCCCCTCCCCTGGGACAGCAGCGATTACCGATAAGGCATGGCACAGATTGTGACTGCTGGGACGGAGCGCTATAGCCAGAAACAGAGCATGTTTCTCAGGAAAAGGATGAGTTTGTTGGAGGGAGGAGGGGGGCTGGGAGAGAGGTGTATTGATGAGAGAAACTGGAACTGACTCCATGGTGGACTCCTGACTTCCAGTCTCCCCGGCTGCACTGACTCTCGCACCCCTTCTTCGGCTCACTGGCCTGTTTTCATGCTTTGTGTTTTCTCCTCCTCGCTCCAGTGTGGACAAATGTGGAACCGCGGTCTGTGGCAGTATTCCCATGGCACTCCCTTGTGCCCTTCCTGGCTCCCAGCCAGCCGGATTCCTCCGTGCAGCCCAGTGAAGGCCAGCAGCCTGTCAGTCATCCCTCCACGTCCAATCAGAACAAAGGTAAGTGGATAAGGGGAGGGCAGGGAGAAGGGATCACAGCAGGTTTCCCACCGGAATTGTTTGTTAGGAGACTGGCAGTTGAGTCGGGCGCTGTGGGAATATATGAGAGTCTTCGCCAGCAACGATAGAGGTTGCATCTCTTGCCCCCCCCCCATAGCTCATTGCCATTCATCCTTCCTTTAACCGTTGTCTTCTCAGAACTTCCAGAATCGGCTGCCGTGGCACATGAGCCACCTGGCGGGTCTTCAGGGGCTGAGACAGGGAGACCCAACACCTCTCACCCCGACAGCCCAGTTCCAGTTCCCCAGCCATCATCGGTGACTCCAGGAGGGGGTGGGGGTCCATCCCAGCATGACGATGACGTCTCGGGACACCCACGCCTGGACAGTGAGACAGAGAGCGACCATGATGATGCGTGAGTGCTTCTGATTTTGTTGTTGCTGTGCACTTGAGGATCATAGGAAGCGGCCCTATACGATTGGATTGTTGGTCTGTCTAGCCCAGTACTGGCAGCACTGACTGGCAGCGATTCTCCAGTGTTTCAGGCAGTAATGTACTATGAACTGTTACCTGATCTGTTCACCTGGAGAAGCCAGAGATAGAGCCTAGGCTTTTCACCACGCAGGAGATGTGCCCCGCCACTGACACTTGCATGCTTGCCCCAACGAGGAGCTTGTGCGGTCGCCTTTCCTCCTGTTTATCAGATTTTCTAGCAATTCATGCCTTGCACAGGGGAATCTGTGGCAGCGTTGGAACCGCTTGTCTGCAGTAAAAGCATTCAGAGGAAGGCCACAGGGATGATCTGGGGACAAAGCCCTATGAGGAGAGATGGAAAGAACAGGCGTGTTTAGCCTTGAGAAGATGGAGGGGAGATATGATGGACCGTTCAAGCCCTTGAAGGGTTGTCACAAAGCGGAAGGGCAGGAGTGCAGGACACAGAATAACGGGCTCAAGTTTTAAGAAGCCAAGTTCCAGCTGAACATCAAGAAGCACCTTTAGAGCAGAATGGTAATGGAATCAAAGTCCTTGGGAGGTGGAGGGCTCTCCCACACTGGAGGCATTCAAGATGCAGCTGGGCAGGGGGTTGGGCTGATGGCCCTCTGGCCCCGTCCAACTCTACTACTCTGTGATTCTATGATTGCAACAGAACAGCTGGTCTTGATGTGGAGCAAAGATGGAAAATGTACAACTGGAGGTGCTGAACTGAAGGAGTGTAATACAGTAATAGTTTGGAGACTACCTGCATATAACGAGGGAAGAAGGAAATGATGTCATGGGAGGAACTGGAGGAGAATTCTGGGAGGGCACCGGGGGAAGGCTGCTGCAATTAGATCTGATCCTTCCGCCCTGTCTACTTGCGCAGATTCTTGTCTGTCGTACCTTCCGAGATGCAGCTCCCACTGCCTCCTGGCAAGCGTCGCACCCAGTCGTTGAGTGCTCTCCCCAAAGAGCGGGACTCTTCCTCCGAAAAGGACGGGCGCAGCCCAAACAAGGTGCGATGGCTCTCCCTTTCCCCGTTGTCTCCTTTACATGCTGTGCATGGAGCGTTCCAAGAAAATCCTCTGCCTCCCCTTGCTCCCCTTGCTAAAATTCAGAGTTTTTGCTGGGAAAAGAATAACGGTGGTTGCGCCTCTGGCCTCCTTTGCATAAGCACCTTCCTCGTTTCTTTGGCAGAGGGAAAAAGACCACATCCGGCGGCCTATGAACGCATTCATGATCTTCAGCAAACGGCACCGGGCCCTGGTGCACCAGCGGCACCCCAACCAAGACAACCGGACTGTCAGCAAGATCCTAGGCGAATGGTGGTACGCACTGGGGCCCAAGGAGAAGCAGAAGTACCATGACCTGGCCTTCCAGGTACAGTTTTCTAGAATGGGTGGAACCAAAGCATGGTGCTGTGAGTCAGAGCTCTGCCTGGGAAAGTCATTGCCACCGGTGGAGTAGCTGGCATGGCGCCTTCTGATTAGTGGTGCATCTCATTTTGAAGAGTGGAGGACGTCCTTGCATGAAGGAGGCACGGGAGACGGCTGGGGCTGTGGGTAATGTGGAAAAGGCACCTAAAGTAGCACTGGCTGCAGAACTGAATTGCCCATTGAATTTTCTAGCATTTAAGGCTGCTAATGTATGCCTGAAAGTGTGCTTGTAAAGGGTTCGGGTGAAACCCTGGTGAAAATTCAAAACACAGAATCTTGGATAGAAAAAGTTTCTTGTTTGTGGGGGGGAGGGCTTCAGTGCTGCTCACCATTCATGTCTCTTCACATAACTAGCAATGGCAGAATCAATTAGCAGATACAAGGGCATTGCACAGCTCTACTAAATTTAGGCAAGCTGTATTTTCTTGTTTCCTGTGGTTCAGAATTTTAAGCTCTTGCGGGATGGAGCATAGTGATGGGCATTCCCACCTTGCACCTGTTAACACTCCTCTGGAATTACTTCTCTCTGTCCTCCTCTCCATCTCGCTGCCCACCCCCTGCAGGTGAAGGAAGCCCATTTCAAAGCACACCCCGACTGGAAGTGGTGTAACAAAGATCGGAAGAAGTCCAGCTCAGACGTGAAGCCCTCTGGACCAGGGGGATGCACCAAGGAGACACGAGAGCGCAGCATGTCAGAGACGGGCACAGCTGGCGTGCCAGGAGGTGAGCCGCCTCCATGTCTCCCCGTACCCCAGAAAGGCTCCTCCATGTCCGTCTGACTCCTCTTTCCTTCCCCACCAGGTCCTTCTGAGATGCAGGTGCTGCTGGGGCCAGAGGGCAAGGCAGGTGTTGTGGGATCCGGGCACGGCCATGGGGAACGCATCCTGGCCGCCGTGGGGCCTGGGGCACAGCGTCCTCGAGCTTTCTCCCACAGTGGTGTGCATGGGCTGGAGAGTGACCGGGACAGCCAGGTGCTGCAAGAGCTCACTCAGGTACGTCACACAGTGGATTAGAATGTTATAATAATAATAATAATAATAATAATAATAATAATAATAATAATTTGTAGTGGCAAAGGAAACTGGAGAGGCTTGTGGGGTAATGAGGCTGTGATCTCCCCAAACCCCTATGCGGATTGTTGGCCTTCCAGTGAGCAGACATGGCGGTTAATGGCAAACGGGGTGTCTTTTATCCATCTGCCATGTTTATACGGCCACCCATGAACATGCCATCTCTGGGTAGCTTGCAAAGACAAGAATAAGTTCACAATATTAATATACATGCAGTGTGTTTATTAGATATAGAGAAGAGATGTGGCGGCACGGGGAAAAATGGAAGCTTTCCAGGGAAAACTGTCCTTTAAAAATCTTTTCCAGAAATCTCAGGTTTTTATTTTTGTGTGCTCTTTTGCACATCCATCTGCTCCCCTCCACCCCCCCAGGCCCGGCTTTTACATCTCTGTCTGCAATCTCTCCCTCTCTCCATGGCCTGGGGGCAGTAAAGAGAATATGACTTAGTCATGTACTCAAGGCCGACTTGAAAGTTCCTAAAAGATGAGGCAGCACCACATAACTCACTCTGGCCTGTTGCATTTCCGGAACTTACTTGGTTGGTTTCCTTGCCCTTCCTTCCTTCCTTCCTTCCTTCCTTCCTTCCTTCCTTCCTTCCTTCCTTCAGCCACAGCGTGCCCAGCCCAAGAAATGCACTTTCAATCCCGGCTTTGGGGCGCTCGGACGCTCTGTGGGGCTCTAACGCTTCACTCTGTTCTGTTCCAGATGTGCTCAGTACAGTCTACGTACGTCAGTGGAAAGGGGCAGTACGGGGGACTGGGACCCTCGGGATCCCCGTTTGCGACTCCTGGCGAGGGTCCCCGCCACTCCTTGCATCCACACCCCTCCCGTGCCTCCCGCTCTCAGCGCACAACCAGCGAAGACATGACCAGCGATGAAGAACGAATGGTCATTTGTGAAGAGGAGGGCGATGACGATGTCATTGGTGAGGCGACCCCTGCCAAAAGTGCTCGCACAGCACGGCCTTTCCGTGTCTCTCAGCCACACTAAGCTTGTGCCCGTTTCTATTGTATCTCCAAGTTGTGAACTGCAGCTCTCCATCTACCCCTCCCTTGAAGATGCTAACGTTAAGAGCACTTTGCAAAATATTTAAGAAATAGCTTGGCATCAACAAATTGAAGATGGGAATTGGAGGACTGTTTTCTCACAAAAGGACACAGATAGTTCGTTCTGGAATGCTGTTGCCAGTCTTCCAGCAGTCCCTGCCACATTTGCAACAAGACCCCTGTGTCACACACGGAGGTCTCGCTGCTGCTGTGTCATAATCTGATTCGATATACTTACCTACTTAAGTACCCAACTGCTGTTAAAACCCTTCTGTTCGCTCCCTGTAGACAGAAGGTAATCCAGTCTACATGAGATCCCACCTTCTGGGAGTAGGAAGGCCATGCTAAAGCCACACCAGGGCTTCTGGGACCAGCTGCAATACCCCAGTTTGTCATCTTGACTTCTTGGACTGCAAAGCCAAATTCTTTCAAATTCACTGTGTGGTACAACAAATTATGCACATTCCACAACCCAAGCCAGTTTGGTTAAGTCTAGTCAAACTCTGTGAAACCAAAGAAGCAAGATTGTCTGAGCTTTTCAGGAACTTGAGGAGCAGGGAGAAGTTCTTTGCCTGAGCCTCATTCCTACACTTTTAGGTTGGTCAGGCAGGGCTGGAGAGGCTGCAGCTTAGATGTCCCAGATACATTACTGGACTCAAGACAGAAATACGTTTAGCAAGCGCCCTGTGATTTTCTGCACAGATCACGGACAACTAGGGTCAGAAAGTTTTATGTCCTCAATTACCATGGGTCTATTTCCATTTTCTCCTTTCTTTGGCCTGTCAGGGACTCCTGAGAGGAGGCAGCAACTATGCAGAGTATAATTATTTCCCCTTGTGTGGGGGTTTTATGGGGTGTGTGGCTCACTGTGAGGCATCTGAGCCATTGTCTACTTTATAGATACACTGCTTCAGTCGTTCTGATATGCTGTACTCAGGGTTGTTCAGATTAGCGGCCCCCAACTTTGGGGCCTGCGGGCATATTTGCAACGTTGAGAAGTGTTGTAGGTGCCATAACAAAATGGCCACCCTGAGTAGCTCGCCGTTTCCCAAAATGGCTGCCATGGTGGCTGCGGCATCGTCTATCACTGAAGGTAAAAGGTGAGACTAAAGGAGCAGAAAGTTGCAGAAGAAATGGAGTGCGAAGTGAAACTGAGTATCAGAACGCTAAACTACTTTAAGCCTAGTTTTCTGCTCTAACAGAATAGTCTTTCGATAGAAAGCAAATGCTCCTACCTGGGCAACTTCCAGGTGCCTTTCCACCTGAGAGCATTTAACATTCACCTAAGCTTATTTCCTGCCCACAGTGTCTCAGAAATGTTGCCTTACAACAACAACAGCTGGGATTTTCAAGTGTTTTTGGATCCATGTGAGGTTGCTGTACCTCATAGTAGTTCATTCATACAAAATACTTGCATCCTGATGTACGGAAAATAAAATTAGTATAAAGCAGCTTCCTTTGTTCGCCTCCTTTTTAAAGGAGGCTCAGTGCCAGCACAGCTGCTTTACCTGTAGAAGGTTACTAGGTTTAATCTCTGGCATCTCCAGGTCATCTGGGAAATAGTTGTTCTGTAAATTCTGAGCTAAATGGACCAGTTGTCTAATTTGCTAATCCGACCTTTGGCTAAGACGGATGCTCTGCTATTGTGAGGAAGACCACAAAATGTGTTATTCTAGTTTCTATCATAGGCTTGGCAGTGTGGGTAATGTGTAGCTGCCCTATATTTAAATAATTTTGAGTATTGGGAAAGGTTCTCTGAATGTACTGGAAGTCAAAGCCCCTTGATTCAAAGCCATTCCCCTAATTGCCTGGGCATTCTTGCCTCGCTTGTCCCCACTCCAACACGAGATTGCCTTGCATCCTGACGATTCGCCCACCACCGCCTTCTGTTCCCTCGATTACTCAGCTCCCTTCTGCATCCAATCTCTCCCGATGGAAAACTCTTCCTGTGGGCAGCAGCTCTTAGCCCTTCCCCAAACTCTGTGCTGCATTGTGCTCGCATTTGCAGCAAGCGCATCTGCAGTCTGCCGTAATCCTATCTCTTGGATAATAACCTCTCTCGCGCTCATATTCCCTCCGTCCCTCCCTCCCTCCCTCTCCTGGAGGGTTTTAGTGGGGGAAGATGGTGGTCAGGTATCTCACTGACGCACTTTCCTCTCTTCCTGCAGCAGAAGATGGATTCAATCCAGCTGACGTTGACCTAAAATGCAAGGAGCGAGTGACGGACAGTGACAGTGAGGGGTCCTTGGGGGATGAATCTGAGAGCAAGGCGAGTATGATGCCAGAATCTGGTTGGAAAAGAAGCAGTAGGTAAATTCCAGGACGTTGCAGCCTTGCAACGAGGGGAGGCTATTTAGTATCCCTGTGCATGTGAGTGACGCTTTGGGATGTTCAGAGCACCGCATACTTGGCAATTCTGCTGTGACCCCGTCAGCAAGATTCGTATTACTTTCATTGTGGAGGGACCGACGCCCCTGAGAAGAGCGGCTTGTCCACGGATCGGGCATTGGTCCGCTTTGGAGCTCAGCCTCCCTCTTGGAGTTCTGTCGCTGCAGGGGATGCGCCAGGGTGGGGGCACCAGGGGCCGCCCGAGTGGACGGTGCGGTGGCGGCTTTGTGGGGCGTGCCCGTCTCTTTAACAAGGTCCTCATTTGCTTGCAGGACTTTGGGCGGAAGCTGTTTTCCCCAGTGATCCGCACGGCAGCACTGCCCCCTTCCTCCGGTGCCTTCGCCCCCTGTCGCCCACTGCCTCCCCTGGACTTGGAGCCGCCCCCGCCACCCACTCACGGTCACGACCAGCAGCCCCCCTCCAAGTCGTACGGCTCCTTCCAGATGGCGCCCAGCACCTTCAAGCCCCAGGACTCCCGCGGAGGGCTGCGCCCCCACAACGCCCCAGCCAAGCGCCTGGAGCCACGGTTCGACTCAGCCGCTGCCCCCTACCGGCGGAAACAGGCTGACGGCGTGGGAGGCTCCCAGGCGGCCGCGGAGTCCAGCGGGGCTCCCCTCGCCGTCCCCCCCGCGCATTCGGTCATCTCCCCGCCGGGGGGCATGGTGCAGGCGGTGGTGCTCCCGGACTCGGCCCGCTTGTCCTCCGGTACGGTCCTGGTGACGGCCCCGTCCATGAGCACTCAGAGCGTGGGGGTGATCGGCTACAGTGGGGCTCCCAGCTTGGTTCGCACGGCCTCCACCGTCGTCACCAACGTCGTCAAGCCGGTCAGCAGCACTCCCGTGCCGATTGCCAGCAAGCCCCTGCTGCGTGGATCCGGGGAGGGGCTGCCGCTGCTCAGCCCCCCTCCCTCCGAAGGGAACCCCAAGCCCGATGGAGTTTCCATGGGGCGCATCGGCCTCCTCTATGCCGATAAGAAGACTCCCCAGGCTTCTGCCATGCCCGGAATTCAGGCCACGCCTCCACATTTGGTGGCTGGGCCGCTGCTCGGGCAAGGCCTGGCTGCTGTGGGGAAGGCGTCCCCCAGCCAGGGCGGCGTCGTGACCAACCTGCTTGTAGGAACTCAAGGGTATGGGCAAGCGGGTGGTGCAGGAGGGGCCGGCGTCCCAGTGACTGTGCTGCCACCTGGAGCCATTACCCAGCAGCCCTCCGTGCAGTTCATCACTCAGAACCCACCTGGGCAGAATGGTCCCGTGCCGCTCAGCATCCTTCAGCCTCAAGGCATCCTGTCGGGACCCACAGGCAAGGCTGGGGGCATCACTCAGGTGCAGTACATCCTCCCCACGTTGCCTCAGCAGCTGCAGGTAACGGGGGGGAAGGTGCCGGCCGGAGCAGGCACACCTGGAGCCACCAGCATTCATTTCACTCTGCCACCAGCCAACGGGAAGGTGATCACCACGCCGCAAGCCATCCCCATCATCCAGCCTGCACCCGGAAGCAGCAACAGCAGCGTCACCGTCATGTCCTCAGCACCCAAAGGTAAGGAAGTAGGTGTGCCCGGCCGCTCGAGCTTTTTCTGCACGGAAATGTATCTCCTGGTAGGAGCAAGCGCACAAAAGCAGCACTTTCCCCATCCTGGTCTCCCAGTCCCGCCTTGCTTGTTATCCCTTATTTCGGAGGCTGCCGGTGCTTTCTGTCCATGGCCTTATATGTAGACTGGAAGAGCAGCAGGCAGGTGGAGCAAGTGGTTTGTTGGTGCAGGTGGGCCAGGAGGTACCGCTCTGTAAGCTAACCTACAATGCCTTGGTTGTCTATGGGTCAGATCTAGCACCAAAGATTGGTATTTGGGCCCTGGCAGCCTTGATAGAAAGTTTGCTTGCAGTTTTATACGTGAGAGAAAGCAATAAGTTTTTCAAGTTGTGAGAAATTGAGAAGCTCCATTCTTCAATCTCATCTCTCGTGGATTTTTTTTTGCATGTAGCAGAAGGGCTAGAATAAATAAGCACGTTTCTCTGGGCACATGTGCTTTCATAATTGCAAAGCTGGCGCTAGATGCCTTCGTCCTGGATGAGTCTGGAGGCTCAGCCACACTTCCTCGCATGTTGACAATTGTGTCAACAGGACGCCAGGTGCATCGGCCATCACCGCACCTGGTGGCCAAGGATTTTGCCTTAAATAGGTTCTTTTTGAAGAAGTCTTCCCTGATACCTGTCCGGAATCATCCATGCATAACAGAACAACTTGGATCATATTCCTTTTAGCGTATCTTTTATCTAAAGTAAAAACCCTCAAATATTTCCTTGCAGGAGTGGTGCTTTAGTGTCCCAACCAGCTTAGTTTCCCTGTTCTACACCCTTTCCAGCTCTACCTCATCCTTCTTGAGATGCGGAAGATGGTTCCCTTGACTCAGGCATAGGTTTGACGCTGACCCATCCGCTCTTACTGTGTGCGCTTTCTGTCTGCTCCCACAGTGCAGTCGGTGTCTCCAGTCCAGGCACCTTCTCCCGGCAGTTCAGCCCACCTCGTGTCTGGGCAGGTGGTGCCTTCTGCGGGGCTGGTGCAAGGCAAAGTCCTGGTGCCCATGGCAGCGCCCCAGGTGACTGTGCGGACCACCACAGCCCCCCAGCTTCCTCTGGTCACGCAGCCTTTTCCCGTTCCAGTGCAGAATGGAAGCCAGGCAGCCAGCAAGGTTAGTGTCGGTAGAGGTAGGGAGGGGATGACATGAGCTGGGTCTTTCGTATGTTTATTATTATTATTGATTATGTGTGTTGCAGCATTTTAAGACATCTGTGCTGTTAAATGTAAATACGTAATGGGCATAAATGGTGCAGACCTGGCATCTGTGCTTCATTTTGGATGTACAGCTTCCAGTTTTTATTGCTTAGCAAAGAGGCAGGTTGGATGTCATGGGGGTCATAGATAAGCCTTGGAATGTTCAGGGCTTGGAATGTTCTCAGTGAGTGAGAATTTTCCCATCCCTCGACCACTTTATATTCACTTTATATCCCATTCTGGGCTCCCTTTGGGTTTGAAGACTACCAGAAATTCTGCATGCTGCTCCAGAGACTTCCCTTGAGTCACAGAGCATGGGAGCAACTTTTGCTGACCGTTTCAAAAAGTTAAATTTCACAATCTGCAAAGGAACATTTCAGGCATTTTTAATCTTTCCAACACTAGTATTCTCCCCACACCTCCAATTAATATACACATATCTTTGTGATTACAACATGTCTGTCGTTTACTATGGGGAGTGAAGTCATGAAAACAAACTTTTTCTGGAATTTTTGGGAGGAAGAGACTGAAGAGGCTGCAATACTTGCAATACCGATCAAGCCTAAACTTATTTTACCGTTTCAGCAACGTAAGAATTCTAATCTAAGACAGACTTATCTAGCATATTTGTCAAGCTCACAGATCAGTCCTAAGCATGTTTATTCGAAAGGCTCCCTAGGTTGGATCTGGTCTTAAGACCCTTGGAAACCAATAGGTTGGCCATGGACGGTTTGTCCCATCGATTGAGTTGGTTTTTCTCCTAAGTGTGACTTTGTCTGGATCCAACCCACCCTGTTTAGTGGGGTTTGATCCCACAGAATTGCTGCACCAAAGCAGAAGTATCTCAGTTAAGGCCAGAAATGTTTGAGTGCAGCCCATCTGAGGCAGGAGGGAGAGAGCTGCACCCCCTGCTACTTACGTACACGTGACTCCATGTTTTATACCTGGGGAAGGGAGAAAAGTATTAATAATGAAGGCAGAATCTGCCAAGAGTAATGAAGACTAGACAGTGAGACGGATGCTTTTGGTTGCACAGGTGCGTGTTCATCTCAGCCACGGGCAGGTTTGCACTGGCCTCCCCCCACTAAAACAGCAACTCTTCTTACTCCCCCACCCTCTGTTGCAGTTAGTACCTAAACAGCGGGTTAGGCTTTCTGCTGTAGCAAACATGGAGCTGAGAGTACATCCAGTTAAATAGGAATGGCATATATTTTGAATTGTGTTTGGCAGCGTTCATTTTCTGCAGCGGGAGCCGCTCTTCTCAGGCCTGTGTGTGTGTGTGTGTGGGTGTGTGCGCATCCGCCCTCGAGGCTGGGGCTTGGCGCCTGACCCCTCCTCTTGCGTGTCCCTGCTCTTCCAGATCATCCAGCTCACGCCGGTGCCGGTGGTCCAGCCCCAGCCATCTTCACAAAGCAGTGCCACTCTGGTCCCCCCCTTGAGCCCGGCAGCTCTCCAGGGCACGGTAGCCACAGCGGTCGTGGGCTCCCCTAGCCAAACCCCGAAAGTCTTCCTGCCCTCCTCTTCTACCAGGTACGGACGTGCTGTGCCCCTTTGCAGCGCCAGCTCCCGCGGGCGCAGGCGGGATTCTCCAGCCTCCCCAGCAGCCGCCGTGCACCCTCTTCACCCGCACCCTCTCTCCTCCTCCAGGATCACCTATGTGCAGTCGGCAGCCGGGCACCCGCTTTCCCTGGGCAGCTCGGCCACCCACTCGCAGCCCAGCGGCCCCCCAGCCACCTCTGCCACCACCTACGTCCAGTCCCCCGTGGGTCCTGCCCCCATGGCACTGGGATTTACAGCCATCGGGCCAAACGGGCAGGCCATCGTGCAGCCGCTGCTCTCGGGTAAGGCTGGGGGCGCGGCTGGGCGGGGGCGGCCGGCCCGGTGCCCAGCCGGCTGGACGTGCTCTTGCCTTGAGGTGCCTGAGGCCCCTTCCTGTTCTGCTTCCTCAGGTCAGAACCCTCTGCTGGCTCCCGGGCAAGTGGGGGTGTCTCCTCTCCAGAGCCCCCAGCTCCCGGCCGCCTGTGCTGGGCAAGGACAGGTCATCACGGCCATCTACCCCAGCCCCACAGGGACCAGCCCCGCACAGACAGCCGGCCACAGTGTGGTCTACACGGTGGCCGCCACGGGCACGGTGGCGGTCTCCTCTCCTGCCGCCATCCTGCCTAAGGGGAGCGCTGGTGGCGGCAGCACTCAGAGCCCTGGGGGCTCCAGCCAGGGGTTGATTTCCACAGGTATGGAGTGGGCAGAGGGCAGCGGGGCGGGGGGGGAGCCATTGCAGTGGAGGGGGAGCAGAGGAGGGTGTCCAGGCAGGCAGGCAGGCAGGCAGGCCAGCCGATGACGCTGGACTGGCACGAAGAGAATCGTGTCACTTTTGCCACTGACGCAGGAAAACTGCTGTGAGGTTGCTGAGCCTGTGCTGGCCCTGAACATTTCAGCAGAAGCAGCCCGTGCGTTTTCCAGCAAACATGATAAAATGGTTGTGCTCTCAAAAAGCGGCACTTGGTCCTGAACTATGTGGGCGCTTTGCTCTTTTATGTAATCCCAGAATCGATGCTGCCCAGCTGAGGAAGGGCATCAGGAGCAGGAGGTGGGTGAACCGGGAAACTGTTACTGGCCACGATTGTCTGTAACCACCTCTGTCCCTCCACCCTGTTCCTTTCAGCCACACAGGCGATTCCTTCAGCAACGGCCCGACCTCAGCGTCCACCACTCAAGCCCCCTCAGAAAGTCAAGGCTACCGTTGCCAGCATCCCTGTTGGCTCTTACGAGTCAGCCCCCTCCCCGGGCTCCGTTCGTCCCCCAGTGGGCCAGCAGCAGGAATCAGGGGGCGCACGATACCTCCGGGAGGCTGAAACCCTGGAGCGGGCTTCACGGGAGACGGGGCCCCAAGAGCCACCGTCCTCCCCTGCGTGTCGGGGCACCGAACAGAGTCCAGCTAAAGCCCAGGAGTTGAAGAGGGATTCTTGGGAGCCGATGTCACCCCCGTCACCCCAGCAGCCGCAGGTGACTGAGGCAGCGTCCACAGAAGTCTGGAGTCAGCGGGAAACAGCGGCGGGTCCCAGCGAAGAGAGGGCCATCCGTGACCCCCAGCCTGCCCCTCCGCTGGGCAGTAAGGGGCCCGAGACGGTGAGAAGGCCCTCAGCCCCTGCTGCACCTCCCGTTCCCACCAGCCTTCGTTGTTGTTTCCATACCATGCTTTGAGGTGGACCATGAACCACCTCTATGGAAAGCACACAGGCAGTCTTGGTGGCCCATCATCCCCGGAATCCTCTCTCTGGAGGTTTTCCAAGGTTGTGGCCTGAGCATCTTTCTGGGGTTTTGGAAGACTGTTCCGGCTTTAGATAGCCAGGTGTGAGCTCACGAAAGTTACGGGGGTTGGGTTTTATTTGAGTAAAAACTGCCTGGAGGCTTCAGACTCCTCCCAGCCGTCATCCTGCCTTGTAAAGAACAAAGAGGCTTTGCCATTGTAGTTCCCACCCGAGTCTTGGCAAAGTATTTCTGCACCCACCACCGCCCTTCTCCACGCCTCTTCCAGCTGTTCACTGGCATGTCCTCTCCCTTCCCTCCTGCTCACTTCAGGCCCTGAAATTCCCAACTTCGCCTGACTGGAGGACAGCCTGCCCCGAGAGCCGCTCTGAAGCTGCAGCACCATCCACATGCCCGTCCTCCTCCTCCTCCTCGCTCAGCCCCGGCCCTACAAACTCCAGCGAGGGCTGCAGAAGCGGAGCGCCCGTGCTCGCCTCAGCCTCGGCCTCAACCTCCGAAGGGCTCGAGCCGAAGGAGGGCACTCCAGGGAAGAAGGTGAAGGTTCGGCCTCCGCCTCTGAAGAAAACCTTTGACTCCGTTGACAAGTGAGTGAGTTGGGAGGTAATGAACTGGGGGCGGGGGGGGGGGGCGTGGTGTTGTCAAGGCCTCTCAGGTCTTGTGGCTTGCCGGCTGCATTCGGGGGAAATGCAGTAGGCGATTCCTCAAGGAGATGATAGACAGGGCTGGGCAGGCATCCTCAAAAGACACCTTGCCTGTCGCCGCCCATCTTCTCGTCCGATGGCCGGGGTGGTTGCCTTCTAGTTGGTGAGCCCTAGAACAGAGAGGAAGCCTGATTCCCTCTTGGGGCTTTGGATTCATGCTCGTGATAGCCTCAGTCAGCATGGCCAGGAATTATGGGGGTTGTGAGCCAAAACACCCCTGCTTAGACGGTGCTCTGCATGAGTGGCGTGCGTCCTGCCACACTTCCCAGAATTCACTGCCCCACGAAGAGGCTCCTGAACAAGCATTTAAGTGTGCAAAGTGTCCCCTGCACTGGAAGATGTGAAAGCCGTAGTCCTGGATGAATCCAGCTTAGACAGGAATCACATCCGCTTTGCTGGAGGGACCGAAGGGGTGTTTGCTTGGGCTGAATGTTAAGGCTGATAGCGCCCAGCTAACGCTCAGTGCCTGGCAAAATATGCGTCTCTGTAATAGGCATGGGAGCTCGTGTCTGCTTCTCTCTGGGCCAGGAAGCCCTGCTTGCTTTATGGCAGTGAAAGCGCCATGGCCACTCGCACGTCTTGCCCGTTCCATGTGGCATCGTGCGCTCGGGATGGGCCGAGTCGCATGCATGAAGGGGCGGACGGCACAAGCGAAGCCACTGTGCGTACCTAGACCCCTCAAGGTGACCTGGAGCAACGGACACGGACGGCAGGTGGACCGGGCACACTGCCGTCTTGAGGCGCGAAGCGCTAGGAAAGGGGCAGGGTGGGTCTGCTCCAGGGAGGGGGCGCTTGGCTGCACCGCGTGACCCGTACCCTTCGCTCCCCAGCAGGGTTCTGTCAGAGGTGGACTTTGAGGAGCGCTTTGCCGAGCTGCCCGAATTCAAGCCCGAGGAAGTCCTGCCATCGCCCACCTTGCAGTCACTCGCCACTTCGCCCCGTGCCATTCTGGGCAGCTACCGTAAGAAGCGCAAGAACTCCACCGGTAAGGGTTGGGTGGGCGAGGAGGAAGCTGGTCCGGGGTGGCAGTCGCTGTGTGTGGAAGATGAACGGCGTTCGGCCCCTGCTGCGAGGACAAGCTAGGACGTGGGGTCGCGGGGCAGGAAGAGGGGGGAGCTGGGTGAAAGGTAGTTTACACTGTGGAGATTCTCCAGCATGGCTAGAGAGGGGGCCACGGAACTGAAGAGGGTGACCTGCCTCAAATACTCTGGGATTTCCTCAGAATTATGGATGGATGGATGGATGGATGGATAGATGGTATTTGTATGCCGTCCTATCGCATAGCCTCAGGACAGCTTACATAAAATAACATAAAACATAATACAAATAAAATCCAGATCCACCCTGACTGCAGATTAAAACCTATAAGCTGAAGTTAAAAGTTATTAAAATAGAATTATCACCTTTTAAACAACACTTTTAGCAGATTTAAGTGAAAGCGTGAAAAATATTCATGATTTGATAGAACTGCTGTGAACTTTACAAGGAGTCCTGTTGATCAGAACTATACGTAAGCAGAGATGATATTATTGTGTCTTTACAGAAGTGAAGCACAATTCTCCGCTTGAAGGTTCAAAAGCCAGGGTAGCAAGACAGCTTTTGCATGTTTATGGCAGCTCAGGAGCACAGGGATATGTAAGGGGGTTTGTGAAGGCGTCTCGTTAGCTCTCTCCCCTCTCACACGTCTGGAAATGTGCAAATGAAGCATAAATGTGTGCTTTGTTTCCAGCCCCTTAATGCACAAAGCTGCTTGGGTGGCGAGTTAGCAAAGTTGTACCTGGGCTTGTCTGTCGGGTGCCTTTCTCTGGCTAAGCGACATGGGCTGGGGCTTCTTTGCAGACCTGGACTCGTCCACCGAGGACCCCATCTCCCCCAAGAGGAAGATGCGGCGGCGCTCCAGCTGCAGTTCAGAGCCCAACACTCCCAAGAGTGCCAAGTGTGAAGGAGACATCTTTACCTTTGACAAAACAGGTAGGTGAGGGGTGGGCAAAGGGCGGGAGCGGGAGGACAAGGATAGTGCAGAAAGCTTGCCCTTCTCTACTTCAGGCGCACCTGGTGGGCCTTCTGCAGCTCCCCGGCTCCGTTTATCTCTCTCATCCGTGGCTGCTGCTTCTGTGTCTCGCCCAGCCACAAGCAAAGGTGGTTGCCAGGGGACGGCACCACGTGGCTCTCCAGACACACAGCGAATCCAGGACTGAGGGCGCTCACAGCCTCTGCTTGCCTCAACGGTGGGGTGTGGCAGGGGCAAAACTGGATGCTGCGGAAGGACCCAAGATGCTGCAGTCTTCCCCAGCCCAGCCCCACAGGGTGCGAACGGGCTCCGGATGCTAACAGCCCCGTCTCCCTGCAGGCACAGACTCAGATGATGTACTTGGTGAGCTGGAATACGAGAAGGTACCCTATTCGTCGCTCCGGCGTACCTTGGACCAGAGGAGGGCTCTGGTCATGCAGCTCTTCCAGGATCACGGCTTCTTCCCTTCAGGTAGGGAGGAGCTTGAGCTCTGGCGGGCTCGTCGATGCAGCTGCGGAGAGACGCCAGCACTCCATGCCGGCCCGTAGGCCAGGGGCCGCAGTCCCAGTGCAGTGTCCTGCTTCTGGGTTCCAGAGAATAGCCCTCCTGGTTCCCGCAAATCACAGGCTTCCCAGAATTGCCCCTTGCGGTGACCTGTTGCCAAATGGCAGCTTCCGCTCTGCAACAGGAAGTGGGGCCTGCCTGTGTTTGCACACTTCTTTCCTGTGACTCTTTGGCTTGGCCAGGGTGTGTGAGGCTGCTGTGGAAACAGCAGAGAGAAACGCACCGGGCCCTGCGTGTTTCTGGGTGGTTGCCTCAGGAAAGGAGGGCCTCTGTCCCATGAACAGGCAGCGGCATCCGTGTGCAAAGAAGGGTTGCCCGGGCGAGCAGCTCTTGGCTCTCCCCCTGCTCCCTCCGGCATTTGCCGTGATCCTGACGGGCATCTTTTCCCCGCTTTTGCAGCCCAAGCCACTGCAGCTTTTCAAGCCCGCTACTCCGATATCTTCCCGACCAAGGTCTGTCTGCAGCTCAAGATCCGGGAAGTGAGGCAGAAGATCATGCAAGCAGCTACCCCGACAGAGCAGGCCCCAAGCACCCCGGAGCCCGGAGGCCCCGCCGGCCCAGGCAGCACCCCGGAGGGACAGCCGTTGGAGGTGGCCCTCCCGCCGCAGGACTCAGCACAAGGAGCGGACGCCCCCGCCGCCAGCGCCGCCCCCGCCGCCAGCACACCGTCGACAACAGCGGCTGGTTGGGACTGTAACCAGCAACTGTCTCCGGGAGGCGGGGGCAGCGGCAGCACCAGCAGCAGATGAATGGCTGTGAACAGCTGAGCGAGACAGATAGCCTTGGGACGGGGGCTCCTGGAGCTTGGGCCCCCACCTGCGCCGCCCACCCGTGCCCTTCCCCTGCCAGCCTCACCTCTTCCTCTGCCACTGCGACTGAAAGGGGAGCCGGCTGCCCGTGCCGTGGACTCGTCCCGTGCGCCCTCCTTCCACTCCTGTCCAGCCATCCTAACCCGAAAGGGCAGGGCTGGGGGGCTCCTCTGCACCCCCCTCCTCCCAAGAACTCCGTGGTGGTGCTGAAATAACCATTCCAGGACACAGGCGTTGCCCTTGCTGGGGAGGGGGTGCCGAGGGCCACCAGAAACACACACCTGTAAAGTGACCGCTTCTAATTTCAACCCCTCCCCTTTTAATAATGTTAAATATTTTGACATCCCACATACTCATTGCTTCTGTGTCAGTAACTGGGGCAGAGAGGAGAGTCTCTACCACCCGCTGCTGTGGTGGGCGGGGCGGAAGGTGGTTGACGGCCTTGCCTTGCCTTGCCTTGCCTTGCCTTCCGGCCCGGCCGGCCGGCCGTCGCTTCGGTCGCTCAGTCACTGGAGGAGGAGGAAGGCGGCGTGTCCAGGTTGCCGCTGGGCTCGGCGGAGCCTCGGCGACCACGTCCGTTCCGCTGACAGGTCAGGGTTCTGCTTTGACAATGAGCGGGGAAGGGGGCATTCTGGGGGGAAGAGGCCTCGTGCGCTGGAGAGGAGAGGGGGTCTTGGGGTTGGGTGGCTGGCCCAGCACCGATGGGGTAAAGCGCAAGAGACCGGTGCTGGTGGATGGGGGCTCCACTCCACCCCCCCAAGTGTGAGTGCCCTGGTGGCCGCAGCCACATGTTGACCATGTGTAACCCCTTCTGTATTGGGGTGGCCCCACCTCGCATACTATTAAAGCTCTTTAACAATCAGCTTGCTTGTGCAGTTTAAGTTGCTCGTATGGAGGCCATATCCTCTGGCAGGAACATCCGTCTGCCAGATACTGCGCTGTCTAGTTTGCTGCTGTGAATCCAGCTTGCTCTGATATTGTTACATGGCTGTTCTGAAAAAGCACTTTTCTGACCCTCAGGGGTGAGCAGGGATGCTTGAAATGTCTGCCGAAGTCTCAAAAGGCAAGGAGTTCCTGTGGGCAAAGGCCTGGTATTTGAGCCCTGCCCTGCTCCTCCCTGTGACTTGCTGGGGTACCATCAAGTATATGCTTTTATCCAAATTTCTGCAGATTTCAAAATACGGATGCATTTACCTAGAACTGTGTTTTAAATGGCACTTTCATGCACCTGATTTAAGTATATTTAAGGTTGCAATCCCTATTCAACCCTCCCTCCCTTAAAGAGGTTTTTTTGTTTGTTTCATGGTCAGACGGATGGCATTCATGGCAGAAAAAATGCTGAGGCTATGAATGTTTCATAGTAGGGCAGGATAGGTTGTGCAGTACAGAAGTACATTCTTAAGCATAGAAGCACCTTTAAAATCTGTTTGGGTTTATAAGCATTTAAGAGATAGAATGTGTTTTCATATTTTTCTCCATGATGATAAAGAACAAGCTCTTCTGTATGAGGAACAAATGTTAAGTCTTGTGGGAGGAGGCGGCTGTAACTTCTGACTTGTCCCATTATCACAACTGTGCATACATTCTCCTGATTCATTTTGGATTGCTTCATGGAAACAAGAATCTGTTCCAGTTGTGATAACAAAGGAGATGCAAAACAACGCAGCAACTGCAGAACCATTGCACCGATTTCCCAGGTGTTACAACAAAGGAGGTGACCCCGTTTGGAGCAAAAGATGTCCCAATGTTCAAGCTGGATTCCAAAAAGGAAGAGGCATTTAAGATCATATTGCAAAATATAAATTGGCTCCTACAGTACAGCAAAGAATTTCAGAGAAAGTTCAGTCCATGCTCTACAGATTACAGCAAAAACTTTGGATTATGAGAAGCTATGGATGGTTCTGAAATGATTGTCCTGATGTGTAAGGTGTATTGTGGAGCAGCGTCTGTTCGGACAGAATATGGAGAAACAGAATGCTTTCCTGTCAGCAAAAGCATCAAACAGGGATGTGAGATCTACCTATATGTTCATTCTGTGCCCACAAGGAAAAGCTGGATTAGGTAACAGGAAGGAAGAGAGAAAACTGGTAGGAGATACATTCATAATTTAAGCTATGCAGATAATACTGTATTACTGGCAGAAAGCAATAATGAATGGAAACGATTCCTGATGAAAGAAGGAAGTGCAAAAGCAGAATGGCAGCTGAACACCAAGAGAACAATCACGTTTGAAGAATTGTACAACTTTAATGTTGACACTGAAGAAACAAATTGTGAAAGACGTTGCATGCTTGGCTCAGTCATCAATGCAAACAGCAACTGCAACCGAGAAATTCAAAGACTGAAGCTTGGAAAGGCAGCAATGAAGCAACTGGGAAGTTCCTTATGTGCACGGAAGTCTGAGGACCAAGGCCAAGATCATCTTCATTATTGTATTCCCAATCACAACGCATGGGTGTAGAAGCTGGACAGTGAAGAAAACTTGACAGGTAGAAAATTGATGAATTTAAAACATGTTAGTGGAGTGTTTTGCAAATACTCTGGATGAACAGAAAGATGAACAAGTGGGTTCTTCTAGATCAAATCAAGCCAGAACTTGCCCTGGAAGCAAAAATAACAACTGAGACTGTTTTACTTTGGATACATAATGAGATGGCAAAACTCACTGGAAAAGACACCATGCTAGGGAATGCTGAATGCAGAAGAGGAGGGAGGCCAACTATGGGATGGATCAGTTCCATAAAGGAAGCCACAGCCTGAGTTTAGAAGAGCTGAGCAGAGCTATGAAGGACAGGACTGTCTGGGGGTCGTCATAAACTGGAGATGACTTGACAGCATGTAACATCATTCTTCTACAAACTCCACCAGTTAGTTTGGAGAAAAACCCTTTGGCCCATCAATTTCAGAATGATTTAACTACTGGGTGCAAAAGGAGCGGCTACCAGAGTTGATGGCAAGGGGCACAAGGTCCCGGAAGAACTAGCTTGCAGAATCAAGTCCGCACACCACCCCGTGCTGCTAATGGTATCTGCTACTTTCCAGAACCTTGCATTGCATCCTTTGCAGATGCAAAACTACAGTCTTTGAACATGGCAACTTCATGAAGTACTGTTATACTAATAGTTTTCGAGAGCTACTAATCCTTGCTTGGGTTACTGATTTAATGTTTTCCATCACTACAGCTTGTGTTAATGAATTAAAACTTGCTCCTTCTCTGTAAGCCACCAATCCCAAACCGGCCTCCTATCCTTATCTCAGGACATTTGGTTATAGAGAAAGAAATATCCAGTCTTGCGCTTAGAAATGTATGCATCAAGTTTATTAAGTAATCTTAGACAAGTCCCCATCAACTTGCCCCGTGCCCAGTAGCTTGTTTTTGCATAAATAGGTCAACATGCTTCTTATCCAGGGTTGCTTTTTGACCCCATCCAACCTGGCCCAATTCCCCACAACCACTTCACAGTCTAAAGAACTAACACCCATGTAAAAGGGATGGAAAAGCCAGTATTTAATGCTGAAGACTGAACCGACAAAGGCAACACACAGCTGGGGGGGGCTGCATCTACTGCCTCCCTAGCCAAAGACTGGAGATGGCAACATCCGGGCTGCCAAGCAGGGCCCCCCAGCAGTTCGCCAGCCAGAGTGCGGGCTCCTCTTGGGCACGAGCCGCCTTCCCGGTCAAGGAGCCTGCGCGTGGCATTCTCCGAGCAGGCACAGCAACAGGCGGTGCAGCCCGGGGCAGAGCCTCGCGTACCCGTTCCGGGTCAGGTGGAGGTAGTCGTACATGTCGTGGTGACTGATGGTCCCATCGGAATGCACAAAGCCCGGATCTGCGTCCAGAAAGGAGGCATTGGGCAAGAGCGGCACCTTGGCCTCCAGCAGCTCGTTCACTTTGCGATTCTTCTCCCTTAGGGGGTTCGGGTTCTTGCCCCGTGGCAGCAGGCCCTATATAGGGGAGAGAGGAGATCAGCCTGTTAAGCCACCATGGGGATGGCCGTGTGTGTCTGGCCTGCGTTCCTCTTGCCCCGGCCTTTCCGACGGGGTCAGACTTACCAACACAACCACCCGGGCCTGTGGTTGCTGCTGATTGATGACACGCACAATAGCTTCTAGGCCCCCAACCACCTGCTCGGCTGTGTGACCGTGGTTGTTGGTGCCTGCCCAGACCACCACAATCTACAGGTGAGAGAGAGAAAACAGCCTGTTTCTCATGCAGGAGTGAAGCAGCTATCCTGGGCTAAAGGAGACAACACCTTGTTGCCAGAACATCTAATATATCCGGGAATGCTTTCAAGATTCCCCACCAGCAGCTGCCCCCCATGTTCCACTGCCAGAATAGGGGCTCTAAACGGTTCTGCTTTTTCAGCTGTGTTGTGCAAGGGAAGGACCTGCTGTTGCACAACCAGCTGCTAAGATGGTCATATTCTTGTTTCTGTTGCAAGTTTCTAGCTCTTACGACTAGCAAAACCTTAGGAAGGCCCGATCTCAGGAGCAGACTGGGTGTTTGGGCTGTGCAGGCCGGGGCCGTTTTGGTATTCTGCATCACAACACTGAGCTGTGTGTAATCTGACACTTCTGCAAGTGTGGAATTAGACTATACTGGGCATGATGGATCAACGGCATGAGTTGGTGTAAAGATCAGTTCCAATGCCCCTTCCCCATTACCTTTGGTCGGATGTGCTGTAACTCGCCGTTCTGCAGGCGCCAGAGCACGTGCTGGGTGGCATCGCCTCCGATGCCGAAGTTGAGTGCATGCAGAGGGGAGAAGAGCTCCCTCCAAATCTGGGGACAGAAAAGCAACCGCTCAAATTCCAAAAGAGCCTCCTCTTCCCCATATGCTTCCCAGAAGTTCCTTTTGGAGACGCTTTACCTCAAACTGATGAAGGAGCTGCACCAGCGAGTCACCAATGAAGACAACCTCTGGTTCTTTGTCTTTGCTATCAGCAATAAAGCGGTGGTGCTGATTCATGGGGAGCGAGGGTATGGAGAAATAGGAAAAGGCAGTATTATCTACTGAGGGGTGGAGGAGGCAGGAGAAGCAGCCTAGAATGCCAAGGCGAAGTGGTTGGGCGTGCCTGGAGCCACTGCCATTTGTGGATTTAAAATGTGCCCAATGCTGCACAGAATCGGAGCCTTAATCCCAAATGAATCAATACGACATTGCTACCACGCCTGCATGCAATTACATATACGTACTTGCCTAGCTGGAGGTGGGAAACGGCATTTTATCATCCGTTCTTGTCCAAAAATGTGAGAAAGCTCAAAAGGCTTACATATAAATCTTAGGGGGAAGGAATGGGAATATCCCAGACAGAGGTTCCTTTTTAAATGCCCTGTTTTCTCGGACTAGAAAAGGAGAAGGTGGAGGGTTTGAGCGAGAAAAAATGCACTTTTATTTGGCCTGTTTTACTTTTCCTGAATTGCTGGGAAGGAAGTGAAGCACACCTGTCCCAAGGTGGATGCTGCATTCTCTGTTTTGTAGCAACAGGTACAAAATGAAAGACTGGTCCTGTGTGGAAGGTTAAATGCGTATCGCAGGACTGAGGTGGTGGGTGTGCTGTGATGTTTGAGCCCTGGAGCCGGGGGCTCGGGAGATGCAGGTTATAATCCTCACGCAGCCATGAACTTCCTGCGTGACCGAGCCTAGCCTACCTCACAGGGTTGTTGTGAGGACCAAAATGGAGTGGAGGAGGACCGTGTGAGCTGCCCGGGGCTCTTAGGAGAGTGGAAAGGTGAGATGTAAGTGCAATGGGATAACAGTACGAAGGAACATCGAATAAAAACGGGAAAGCGTGATCTCCCTGCCTGGTCCCCGGGCTCAGAGCGAGCCGCGCTGCGTGGCTCAGCCGCCGCTCACCAGAGACATCCATCGCCCGTCCCCCTGCACGTCGGCGACCGGGCTGGGCGTGCTGGCTGGGTTCTTGTCGCCGTCGCTCATGGTCCCTGGCGGCGCCTGCGGAGACCAAACGCGCGGCAGGCGTGAGATCCCCGCGGGGCTGCCCCACCCGCCGCGCTTCCCTCGGCCCGGGGCGAGGCGAGGCGAGGCTGCGCGCCCGGCGCCGAGGAGCAGCCCGAGAGCAGAAATGCCAGGCAGGCAGGCGAGCGAGCGAGCGAGCGAGCGAGCCGACCTGCTTACGCCTGCCTTCCTTCCCCGCCTCCCTCCCCCCCGTCGAGGGCGAGTGGTTTCGCCCTTTCACCCCAGCCAGACAAAGAACCGGCGGCACCATTCCGAAGAGAGAGGGGAGGATTTTCCCGGTCACTCCCCCGTGTCCTGTTTGAGGCGCCTCCGTTTTAAAGCAGGCGCTGGCTGGTACAGGGCGTGACATAAAGGCCGCCTTTGTCTGTGCGGTGGGAGGTTCGGGCTGACAGGCAGGGATTAATTTCTACAGGCAGCACAGACGACTTTCTCTGTCGTTACCCCTTTCTGGAAGAATGGTCCTTCCCACTCTTCCCTTCTACGGACAGAATGGGACCCTCCCCAACGGTTCCAACACGGAGTGGGCAGGACCGAGAAGCTCGATGGGGAAAGGAAAAGCAGGGCGCAGGGGCCCCATCTCAAGGTTTCACGAAATGGATCGAGGCTTGGTCCCCCCGCAGCGGATTCCCAGGGGAAGGAAGGCAGCCGAGTTCCATCTCCTCCCATGCGGAATGATTCATCTGAACCGTGTCCTCCGCATGCTTACGCAGCCAGTGGCATTCGAGGAAGGGGGAACGCATACTCACGGGGCAGGGCAACGAGAAGCCACTTGCTCGTCCGAATCTGCCACAGCGGGAGCAACGCCTCTGGCCGCCGACTGCACGGCCTCAGGTCCGCTCTGGAAGCGGCGGCGGCGGCTGCTGCTGCGGCCTGGGTGGAACCATCTGGGAGGGCAGATGGGGGGAAGTTGTTTGCCTGCCCCTCTATCCTGAAGAAAATGGTACCGACTACGCTGTCCGGATGCCGTTATTCCATTCATCTTCCCCCTTCCTGCTGTGCTATAGTCCCCCCTCCCTTCCGCACCTCCCTCTGTTTGGCTGTACTCTGTGTTCCCCTCGGCGGGTCGCCAGGTGGCTGTTTCCCCTCAGTGCAGCCGCTGGCCAAGGAAACTTGCTTTGCACTACACTCCTATGCTTACCTGGGATAAGTGTCTTCATTTATATATGCAACGTTTCTGTTGCTTAATATACAGCTCTGTATATGCGCGCGCACCCCACCCCCAAATAAAACCAATAAATGTACGATGAATGCAAAAAATGACCCCATGACAATCATTAGCCAGTGACCATTACAACGCCTTCTCTGCATGAAGCATTTAACTCGGTGCACTGCGGAAGCTGCTGCTGCTGCCGCTGCCATTTTCTTCGTGGGAGGATTGACGCGAGTTGCTCCCCTCGGGGGTTTCTGCTCCGCCTTTCTGTAAGCTCCGTGAAGCAACACAGGGTGGCGCCGTGCGGGATGGCGGGGCTTCTGCGACGGAAAACGGCGCCGTCGAGGGCGCCCCGGAGGACCGGAAAAGAGCTGTGAAAATGGCTGGGACACTTGGAAGAGGCCCTGGGAGGAGGAGGAGGAGGAGGAGGAGGAGGTTGTGCACCGGGAAACAGCGGGGTGGGGGGGGGGATGACGAGCTCGCAATACACTTCTCGTGCGGAGCAGTCCTAACAGTCAACTCGCAACACCCTGGAACAAAAGCCGCACGTAAAGTCTCAGGAACAACAGGATGCCCTCATCTGTTGTGCTCTTTGGAGGCATTTGTGGTCCTGTTGCCAAGTATGCAGCAGCCGGGCTGCTGGGTATACAGCCAACCTCCAGCTTGGCTTTTAAAATGCAAAAGGTAATCGAAAAAAGAAGCATTTGTAATGTAAGTTTATTGCAGTACATTGCAACTTTCATGGACTGAAGGGGATCAGCAAAGAAGTATTAAAAAGAATGTATAACAATCAAGAATTTATGAAACACAACAGACAACTAGAATAGGAAAACTAGAACTATGAAAAACAGACAGTTGCAAATGCAGGAAGAAGAAGCATTTTTGACTGACAAACCTCAAGGAATGGGTTTGGGGCAATGCGATATCATTGGACCATCTTTAAAGACTGTTTAGCCATCATGGCGCCTAACCTCTTGGAGGAAAGGAACAAGAAGAAGAGAACTGGGAGGAGGACAGAGGGTAAAAGGGTAGGGCAGCCGGGCACTGTCTGTGATGCACAGCGTGAATGCGAACAACGCACAGCATAGGTGAGGACTGATAAATCCCCCCGTTTTGTTTGACTGGAACTGCAAAGCCAAGGGATTTTTAAATTCTTGGAAAGGCACAATATAAAGCTGATGTATTTGACTCGAGGGGAAATTTCCCCACGTACATTCTAAGGCCTAGCTCACTCAAGAAGTGGTGAACTCGCATTAGGATAGCCACATCTGTGGGTGAAGAACTATTCCGTGTGCAAATTATCTCCAAATGTGAACTGAGGAGGGCAAGCCATTGTATTTTCTCAGTTAGCCACAGAGGGGCTCCATTTTCCCACGAAACCACTGTGGGTGGAAGCATGCTGCGGGGGAGGTAGATCGTCCTAGTTTTCCCCATGATGCTCGGGAATTCCAAGCTTTCTGAAATGGGAGTGGGGAGCAAGAGATGATAGCAGGTAATTCTCAGCTACACCTCCTCATCATTTCATCCAAGGTTGACCCTTTCAGAGTTCAGTTCGTCAGGCAAGCAAGCCCTGAGGATGTTCTCACACATGAGGCATAGTTTTGCTGCGCTTGTATCTGACATTCAAAAGTAAAATTGGTATGGACTGGAATATTTTGGTTATGCGGTCATCTGGAAGCCATTTATGTGAAGAAGCTGCATCATCACAGCCATCTCTGTAATCCTAACTCTGCTTTTTGATTATTTTTGATGAACACGAATGGTTTTGGTGTAAGCCAGGTTGGTTGGAAGGAAGACTGGGATCACCTGGTAGATCTCTGGGTAATTTGTAGGGAATGGCATAGGTTTCCTACTCCAGGTTTTTAGCAGCAACAAATCCCCCCACCCCCACTAAATTAAGTTCAAGAGAAGATGCATGGAAAAGTCCAGGAGTGGATATTACTGTGGCTTTAGACTCCTGGGCTAGACATGTGTTCAGGGGCATCTGGCTCTTTAAATATATCTCAATCTTCTGCAGTCATCATTTTGCACCTGGCTCTTTTTAGTAGATCCTGGGATTTTACTAAAAGATACTAACATTGTGTACCCAAATATATAACTCTGTGCAGAAGGTAAATGTTTTTGCTTTTGTTTTGTGAACCAGTCCTTAACTTTAAGGGACTGGGGCCATCTCTGCTCTGCACCAATTTCTTCTTTACATTCTTACAGGGAGAAGTCAAAAGGTCAGTTCAATTCCTTTGTTTGTGGGTCAACCAAGCTTTTGATTAAGAAGAAGTCTTCCCAAATTAAATTGGCTGATGCTTTTTTCTCACCAAGCCTCTAGTACTGAGTGTGGGGTTATATTCTCTCTAGATTGCACGTAATAATATAATTCAATTCCTTGCACTGATTACACATCAGAAGGGTTCTTGCTTTTCCTGCCTTACCTAATTCAACCAGTTCTAGGTTGTGTTTGAAGTTGCTGGTTAGGACTTTGTTTTGTTTACTGTGATATTCATATTTTCTTTGGTTTTTTTAAATTTATAATTGTCTTAATATTTTTCTGTTCATTGCTTGTTTTTCTGCTTCAAGCCTCTTCTCTGGGCTTCAAAAGGGGAAAAAAAGGTATTCTTTTCAGGACTCACCAAACAAAGGGGAGAAAGAGAACAAAGAATATTGTCTCCTAACTTACTTCTTGTGACACAGACTTCTTTCTGGGTGATGCTGCTGCTGCTCTGCTAAAGATCTAACCTTTTTGCCTTTGTCCCAAGACAATCTCCATCTGCCCACTGGGAAATGGTACTATTAAGCCCTCTTCAGCTTCTATTATCCTCCTCCTCTCATTAGGATCCATTACAATCCCATTAGCAATAACAATCAATCCTTCCATGGACATCCCCAGCTAAGGCCTGATTTGCTCAGCCTTCCTGTCGTCTTAATATTTATTTCAAGCAGATACATGCTGCACTTGAGTGGCTTGGATGATGAAGTGTGCAAGCTGTTGACTATTATTGGATAGTGTTGTCATGTAAAAAATCTGCCCAGCAGCTTTGCCAAGGGGTTGGCTACCCTCACAATTTGGACTGAATGACTGATGTGCTCTGCAGATTGCAGTGGGTATTCCAGCTGATGTGTTCCAGGAACATGTGCTTTGCCAGATGCCTGTACATTATGATGTGGGATCTGTTGGTTGTGGACTACTAAGAATGAGAGTCTTTTCTAGAAGGACTATGCAGCAGCAACAAGTCTCACTTTCTCTTGCTTGCATCCTTCTCCCCTCTTGTGTTAAACAGTAGACTGGAAAAATTCCCATTCTGGGGGAGATCATATTATGATTCAGTGTTGCAGAATAAACTTCATTTTCTTTAGCTGCTGAGCCAACTGCATCTGGATTTTTTGAAGTCTACTGGACAGTAAAAGTTTAAAAGATGGCTTTCTGTGACCTTGCCTGTTCGGGGGTCCATATGGGATCCGGTACATGTCACAGCACTTGGATTTCTGTTATTCTTTCAGTTAAAAATGTTCATAGCTCTTGTTGTGGTGAAGTTTTGAAAATAAGTAGAAATGTTTGTAGAAGAATTTAGCATGCAAGGCAGAGATTGTCTGTGGTTTTTGTGGCTTCATTTCAAGGCTTCCTCTTGTATACCTTCAAAGGCACCTGATTATAATATATCTCATGCCCCCCTCCCCACATTTCAAAATTATACTGTCTTCATTTCTAGACTCAGCAAAAAGCTACAAGTGCAACCTAATTAATATACCCTGAGTGCAGAAATTGAACATTTGGGTCCAGAATCTAAATGGATTTGATTGAATGCTCCCTGAAATAAGAGCACATAAGTATCTTTCAAAACTACAGCCTTGGGATAAAAACTAGTATGAACTACCTGCTGTTCTTCTCAACATTTTATTGGCAGCAAACAGTGCTGTACAGAATATAACACATATATCTTTCCTTGAGTCATGAAATCAATAACAAAGGCCTCCTTGTAAATGGATCAAATTTTTCATGTGCCTCAAAAAACATCTCTTGTCCATTAATCAATGCAATGTGATTTATTTAAAAATGGTAAACGGTTATTACAGCAACCCATTTCTGAAAGAAAAAGCAAACTACTTAAGGTATTTGCTTTAAAAAAAAGCCCAACTTCATTCTATTTAAAATTAACATTTGTTCAAATCTGTTTCACAAACTCTGCTTGGTAGTTAAAAATGAATCGGATGTGTTAAGGGATCCTGGCATTGTGTTGCCGTGATAAATCCACCAGCTGTTGCCATCACTCAGTTGTGGATCAGAATGCCATAAATGCAAAGGCTGGTGCCCCTGGCCATGGGCCACTGCACTCATTAAAAAATGACTGGCTTGGAGAAAGGATCTTGCCCAACAGCCCCCCCCCCCCCCCCCCCCCCCCACAACAGCTTTCTCAAAATATTCTGTATCTGCAAGTGGATGCAGGGTCATGCCTGCCCTTTACCTCCCATTATCAGAAGCCTGGCCGGGGAGGGAGATACAGCCCATCTGTCCAATGCTTAGAGAAACAGAGGGGGAGGTGTTAGCCTGGTGGAGGCAGTTTGGCTGATGCTGGCTGGGGGAGGCTTGTTGAGCAGAGTGGCTGCAGGATTGCTGGGATGCGAGGACGTCCGGCCCGGATTCAGCGGAACCTAAACGGAGCAGAGAGACTGGGTTAAATTGCCAACACATCCCACCGTTCCCTCCCTGACCCCTTTCACCTTTGTACCCATATGACACTCTGATTAATGACAGCCGTTCAGACAGGTTTCCAGCAGAGTGTCAGCTTGCTGTTTGGAAATGCCACGCTGCTGACCCGGGTTTGCCAGGTCAGCCAGAA